CCTTCCGATCATCGACTGACTCGCTCTACCACCTGACCATGAAACAGGTTATAGGGCGGAATCGAACCGCCGACCTTCCGATCATCGACTGACTCGCTCTACCACCTGACCATGAAACAGGTTATAGGGCGGAATCGAACCGCCGACCTTCCGATCATCGACTGACTCGCTCTACCACCTGAGCCACAGCCGCCCCAATGTATAATGCATATATAGTACATCTCCAGCCCTGTGCAGTGTCTAGGAATGGTAGATTGGTACATGTAGACATCAGCGTCGGGGTCGTAGTACTGAGGCTGCTGTCATCCTGTTCCAGGGCCACTCTGCAGTGATGAACAACCCATCCAGGCAGCCTCTGTCCCTCAACATGGCCTACAGGTCAGGTGTCACTCTCCTCAGGTTGTTCTGTGAAGTAACTATGGATGAAATATGTTTTCTAAACTTTGTGTTGCACTTTGAAGGCGCTGCCTGCAGATGCTGGCTGCTGGCCTCTTTCTGCCCGGCTCTGTGGGCATCACTGACCCCTGTGAAAGTGGAAACTTCAGAGTGCACACAGTCATGACTCTCGAGCAGCAGGTAGGTCTGGTCCTGTGGTTCCCCAGAATCTACCCATCACATCTGAACAACCATGTTCTCAAAGAAACTCAGCATGGATCACAGCAGCTGATGTACAGTTGGAAGCTGTCCAGGTGCATCAACCTGATGACCGTGTGAATGTTCGGTTTGTCTTCTGTTTCTGTTTGCATTGCAGGACATGGTGTGCTTCACAGCTCAGACACTGGTGAGGGTGCTCTCTCATGGAGGCTACAGAAAGATCCTTGGATTGGAGGGAGATGCCAGCTGTAAGCAAATCTCATCCTTCACTGTTAGAAGTAAAGATTAGATTCTGCTCTACAGCAGAGAGTTAGACATTTGGGGGATTTGTTGGTTTCAGGGTCATTATCGAGTAACGCAGTTGCCTCGGCAGTTCTTTTTGGTTTTCGATGGGCCATATTGAGTTGTGCTGTGCAGTAAATGAAACCGTCTGTTGTTGCAGACTTGGCAACAGAGATGTCTACATGGGACGGGGTGATTGTCACCCCTTCAGAGAAGGCCTATGAGAAACCTCCAGAGAGGAAGGAGGAGGAAGATGAAGCTCTGGAGGAGGGAGGAGATGGAGAAGATGAGAGCATGGAGACCCAGGAATAACAAAGAGGTTGAAGCAACTCTATGTTGTACCAGCACTACCAACAGTACACAGGTTCCATCACGTCAGCTTTTTAAAAGCTCAAAATAGAGACTGTATGTCAGCATTAATTATCTCGACTTATGTTTACGTTCTAATGTATTGGGTCTTGTTCTGTCTCTGACCAGTTCCGGTACTGCTCAGCTGCTCAGCATTGAGTCATTCCACAATAAACCTACCAAATCTGAACAAGGTTCCTCCCGGACCCTCTCACAATCGGCTGCTAATGTTTTAATGTACAACAACAGTAGTAAATGTAATGAGGCCTTGTCACCTTCATCCTATGAAGATATTTAAAGGCCCTTAACATACAAGGTGTAGGCCTGAAATGTGTTCTTCAGGTTAGTTTTGTCATCATTTTGAGCCATTACAACATAAGAAGTACAGGACATACCCACATGACATTTTCAGGGATGAAATACATGTTTGAGTTGTTTTACAAACGGACACACATTCCCACCCAGGTATCACCATCTAAAGCCCAAGTCTCATCTTTGATCAGAATCATTTTGTCTACCACCCACTCTGAACGTCAGCATCATGACCCTAACCAGCAGCACAACTGCACCAGTTCAATATTTCTGAGTCATAGAAGAAGCATTGCTGCCCTGCATGTGTGTGGTCAGAACAACTATAAGGCTCAAATCAGGCCACGATGTCCTCTGTGTCAAAATAAAATTAAATTATATTTACTGAAGGAACTGAAACAATGAGAATTTCTGCATCAGCGTTTTCCTGCCCAATAGTAAAGACACCAAGACTTAATCCTCTGCTGAAGCAGACCCACAGAGCAGGAACTGGACCACCTCACAGGAGAATCTCAAAGACTTGAACAAGCGCTGAATGTTGCACAATGGTTTTATCAATGCCGTTTGTCCAAACTATGATATAAAATGTGAACACCAATATTGTTTTCTCATTTCACACAAGGGCTTGGTGTCGACCTTCATATGCTCACGGTGCCGGGTCTCTTGTGCTCCCCTCTGCAGTGACCGTCGTTACGTCTGTTGAAGTCCCTGCAGCTCGGCCACGGTGAGCTCTGATGAATCATCAGCAGCAGAAGGTTCACCTGAGGGCCCCTGTGTGTTCACACCAAGGACTGGCCTCCTTTATTGTGCTTTTTATTTTTTAAATTGTGATGTTTTTACTTGCTTTTGGTTTTCTTCATACTTTCTCTTTGTAACAGTGGCATAAATGTTTTTAGTTCAACCTGAGTCTCGTCTGTGCCGATTTTAAACCAGATACTGCTCAAAGCTGGAAGTCCATCAGAACGAAGGAGTCCAGCCATGCATGGGCTTTACTCAGAGCAGCAGTGTACCTCAACCAAACAGACTTATACACAATGAACAGGATGGATTTCAGCACACTGGCTGATACTCCAGCTTACTAAAATGTTCACTGAGGAAGTGCCTCTCTGACAGGCCTGGGTTTACTCATGGTTGAAGTCTGTTCTGGCTCTGGATGGATTTGTTTTATTTAATGATGAGATCATTATATCCAGGTGGAATAGAATCTGCTTTAATTAAATATACAACAGTTTTATTGAGGTTGGCTGAAGGCTGACGTTTCAGTAGGTCAGTAAAAGGTCACGTCACATTAAGGTGTTTTTTTTTTCCCACGAGCCCCTTTGAGACATGCAACAGATCATCAGTCCTACTGGGTCAGTCCCAGTAACACCTCTGAATCACCTTCAGGCATGAACATGAGGAGGCACTGATGTGATGAGCTCTGTGGGTAGTTCATGACTGGAGGGGTCATGTCTGTTCATGGGAATGCATCTAGTTCAGTGATTAGGCTACTCCTGGAACCATCCTGCTGGGAGACTGAAACTGAAAAACTGCTGATTTGACTGAAAATGTTTTGACTTTAGTAAGAGCATCAGATGAACTGTGAAATAAAAATAACCCACCAGATGGAGTTCAGGACTCTGCAGCAACTCTGAGCCTTGATGTCAGATCTCTGTAAGACGAGGATCACGGATACTGTGGTGGGTATATCTGAAGCTGGAGGAACGTTACTGTAGTGGCCTCAGTCTGGATAACAGGAAGCTGTCACTTCAACAGACTAATGAAACAGAGCTGTTGCACATCCCATGTCTGAAAGGGGCTGCTGGCCTAAAATGGCAAAAAGAAGGAAGACCCAATGCACTCAGTGGCCACTGTCAGGTGAGGTTAACTTGCTTTAGAGAAGACTAGGGCTGCTTCAAGGGGTTCCATTATGAACCAGGTTAGTAGTTTACACCCAATTGTAGTGTGTTTGGGTTTCACAATCCAGTATTGAAGCAGCCAGGCAGTTTGAGCAGGGTTAGGGTTAACCCTAACCCACTTCAGTGTGCTGTAGGGAGAATGTTTGGAGACCCACATCAAGCACTAACCATCAACACACACCTTGAACAATAAAAAGTGCTGCAGTGAATGGAGATCAGTATCAGTGACATGTCTGTTTATTAGAAAATTTACACAATCAGAAAGGTGAGCCCAGCAAGGTGCATCGTGTCAGCAACACGTCCTTTCAGTAGTACTTCAGCTTAAGAACAAATGTACTCATGGTGCATTATGGTAACGTTTGTAAAATAAAAATGACCCCACCATTCTTTACTGACTGAGCACCACTACCTCACAGCAGGCCAGTATCATCGGCAGCAGAACCTCACAAGCCTCAAAGGTTAAATGAACGCATTCTTTCGGTGCATTTCAGGGTTATATCACATCACAAGGGCCCACAGAACAATGAAACGGCTTTTACATTTCTTGCTGTCAACACCACCACCACACAGATAGACACATACCATAGAGTTCCAGTGCTGTGGAAAACATCCTGTCTTGTCCAGTGCCTAAAAAACCACAACCAGCTGAACCAAATGACTACAGACCAGTTGCCTTGACATCTCAAATCATGAAAGTCCTATATCGTAATGGGCTTGGGGTTGAAGACGCCATCATCTACCTGCTTCAGAGAGCCCACTCTCATCTGGACCAGTCAGGCAGCACTTTGAGGGTCATGTTCTTTGATTTCTCAAGTGCCTTCAATACTATTCAGCCTGCTTTACTATGTGAGAAGCTCCATAACTTCCAGGTGGATCCTTCCACAACCACTTGGATTTATGACGACCTAACAAACAGACCACAGTTTGTGAGACTGAAAGGTTGTGTGTCTGAGATGGTGGTCAGCAGCACTGGAGCACCACAAGGAACTGTACTCTCACCATTCCTCTTCACACTGTACAGTACAACTCTGAGTCCTGTCATCTGCAGAAATACTCTGATGACTCTGCAGTTGTGGGGTGTATCAGTGATGGACAAGAAGCTGAGTACAGGGAACTGGTCAGTCAGTTTGTGAAATGGTGTGGTAACAATCACCTCATCTTAAATACCAGCAAGACTAAAGAGAGGATTGTTGACTTCAGGAGGAGCAAGAATAAGCAGCATAGCCCTGTCTACATCCTGGGAGAGGAGGTGGAGGTGGTGGAGAATTACAAATATCTTGGAGTTCAGCTGGACAACAGACTAGACTGGAAATGCAACACTTACTACATCTACAAGAAAGGTCAGAGCAGACTCTACTTCTTAAGGAAGCTGAGATCATTCAGTGTCTGCACCAAGATGTTGCAGATCTACTATAAGTCTGTTGTGGAAAGTGCAATCAGCTTTGCAGCCATCTGCTGGGGCAGTAGCATCAGAACCAGAGACTTAAAGAAACTAAACAAGCTGATCAAGAAAGCTGGTTCTGTGCTGGGGATAACTCTGGAACCACTGGAGCTGATTGTTCAAAAAAGAATACTGCACAAGATGATGGAGATTCTCCCCACCCTCTCCACAACACAGTGAAGAATCAACAGAGTGTGTTCAGTGGGAGGCTGTGTCAGTTTCGCTGTAGAACGGAGAGATACAGCAATTCCCTTGACAGACAATTGCTGACTGAATGATTATTATTGTTGCATAAAATATATGTTATATTGATTTTTTATTTTTTTTAAGTGAGCTTTTACAATATTGAATTTCCCTTCTGGGATAAATAAAGTATTTTTCATTTCATTCATACAGCTAAAATCCCAGGTTTAACCCTGAAGCTACCTCGATAACCTTAAAACCTGCTTTGGACAGACCGCTGGCCTCTCCAGGAAAAAGTAGACATGGCACGTGACCCAGCGACTGTTCTTTGTCCAGGCTATGACTGATAATGATTTTTTTGGCTTAGTTTCTGTTACCCTAAAATGAACAGCGAGCTCAGCACACAGCTGGCACCATGAAAACACTGGTTACTGTCCGAGGGACGTGCAGAGGCCAGCTAAGGCCTGCATCCTTTCTTACTGTTGGACATTGAGCCGTTCACTGACTGCTTTGGCCTGTAGACGGCTCATACAGAGACCAGGGCTTCACCAGGGCTACTGGTGCTGTTGGACTATGTGTAGTCAGAGACATGAGGGGTGATGCAGGATCCTCACTCAGCAGCAGCACACTGGTGCAGCCATTCTGTAGCAAGCACAGGTTAAGAACTGCTTTACAGTCAGCTGGTGTGTTTGTCCTTTTTGCAGAGAACTGCCTCCAACCAGATGATTCTGTACTTTCAATTACCTTTCTGCACCACAGACCTACACAGTGACTGAAACGTCAAAGCACTGGGAGACATGGAAGCAGGTCTGCGATGTGTAGAACGGCATAAATGAGGCCGTTTTTTCTTCCCACCATCGCCCAGAGCTTGCTCAAAGGGAATCCACAGAAGCCTTTGGATATGTTGGGTTTCACTGCATAACTTTGGTCTTCACCAATGCCTTCAGAAGAAATATTTTATGAAATGACACCTATTGACACCTAATGACACCTACTGATTAAACTGAACTGAATTATCTGTATGTGAGCGAGAGACAATGAGAGCAGCGGAGGGAGAAGAATGGGCTCTGAAGCATCAGCGTGGACCGGTCGGTCTGAATCAGCTCACACATGCAGTCAGTCATGAGCTGATGTGGAAATAAACCGTCAGGGCTTCAGCAGTCCTCACAGCGGGTCACCTTGAGAAGACTTTAAGAATCTGGATGCTCAGACATTAGTGCAAAGCATGATGACAGTACAGCAGCTCCTGTCATCACAGAACCATGAGTGTGTTATGCCTCCACTGCTTGTCCTGGTTCACGGCTTGAGTTTGAGCCAGGGGTGGACCATGGCGAGGACAGAGAGGACAGAGGAGGCCAAGCCGCAGGCCCCCACAAAGCCTGGCCCGGTAGAGTAGATCCCAAGCCGATCCAGTGGGATAAAGATATCGCAGCTGTTCTTGACCAGATCCAACAGCAGCGGTGGGTTGCTGTACAGCACTGTCACCACCAGATGGAGCTGTCTGCGGAGCCAAGCCCCCATGAAAGGCAGCGCCACCATGGCTGGACTGGCAGGAGGGGAAGACAGCAGGTCAGCAGGTGGAGTGCTGCCGGGGCAGAGTGAGGACGAGGACTTGGCAGTTCTGTAACGGGCTTCACTCTCCATGAGGAGGCAGAGCTCATACACATCTCGAGTCAGGTTGAGGATCAGAGCAAAGAGGTAGTACCTGCAAAGTAAAACCCCACAGTTAGCTCAGTTTATTACCACAGGGAAAAAGAATCTACTTCAAATCCTGATGAACGTGTTGTTTTTGGTTTAAGGTACAGTGATCCAGAGTTTCCTGACATGACTATACATCAGTCCGCCACATCAACACTTCAAGAGAAATCTAGTATTCTGATATCCAGAGGTCTACAGGCACTGGCACTGCAGGATAAGCCACAGCTCATTTCTAAGTCGGCAGCAGTAGCCTCTAAGAAGGAACCTACCCCACCACCACAACTCCACTCGGCACAGGTTTTAGGGAACACTGAAGCTGCATCTTTCAGTTCGCCCCACCTACAACATTTGTGATTCGTTTAAAGAAATACAGATAAACCAGAGTATGCTTTCCTATCTCTGAAAAACTGATGGGAAAGTGCTTCAGACAAAACCAGAGTTTCTGTGAGCGTTCAGACAGTGACGGACACTGCAAACTGAAAGAAAGCCTGATGAATGTTAGGCGCATACGCTTTGGTCAGATGTGAAGATTCATTTGTTCAGCTCAAATGAGGTCCAGTATTTGTGTTGTGAGCCTGGCCAGGTACCACCACCGTGAAGCACAACGGTGACAATGTGATGATAGCGGGCTACCCGAGTGCAGAAGGTGTTGCCGAGGTGACGTGTATGGATGGCCACGTGAATGCCTGCGTACACACCAAAATGCTGTCGGAAGAAATTCACATAAATCACAAAGCTATGACCTGGACCAGTATGTCACCTGACCTGAATCCAACAGAACACCTTTGGGGAGTTTTAAAGAGAACGTTAAAACAACACATACCCTTGCAGCAAAAGGCAGCTGAAAACAACAGTCTGTAAAGAATAACGCACGGGCCTGTATTGTTACCATAGTAACTGTAAACTGTTCATTTTCATCTTTTTACTCGACTGCTGTCCTCTGAAGAAATGCAACCGCCATGAGGTGATGCAATGTGGGATCATGTGAACATGAAGTGACATCGGACCGGCGCTGAGTGCTTCCATGAGCAACACTTCACATCAGGCCCAGCTTCTTTGTGACCCAACGGGCAGGCTGAGGGATCTTCCATCTAGACACAGAACATGGACAAAAACAACCCGACTCACCTGAAAGATCTCTGACTCCATTTGTGCTGGTCCAGTTTGGAGATGAGGCCCGTTTTTCCTGCCCACAACACGTTGTCGCAGGCGAAGTACATGGCCCTGTTGAGGTGGCTGATGGTCAGGCAGAGCCTCAGCACGCTGTCAGACAGGTGGATGCTCCTCTTGGCAGCCTCCAGCGCCTCCACAGAATTCCCCAGACGCAGCACTGTGGGACAACACACACCAGTCACACACAGCTCGGATGCTTGGAAAACGACTCAGACAGGCTGCTTCACTCACGTTTTCTTGTCAGGCTCATGTGTGCCTCCAGCTGACGGACGGTCTTCTGCAGGTCAGCTGCTGCCCCGCCCTTGTGCAGAGTGTAGCCCAGCAGCGTGCAGGCATACTGAGCCGCCCTGTCAACACACAGCACACTCATTCAGCTGACCAGAGACCTGCTTCATAAAAGGTGGGGCTTCAACCAGCCCAGCAGTGGGACCAGTGATTAAACTGTCTGCTAAAGTCAACGTGAAGGTGTTCAGCGGTCACAGTGGGCCACGTCCAACACATGAACCGACTGTGAAACCTTGATCAGAGTCATCATTCTACAAAGAATATGAGGAAAGCTTTGGCAGCAAGCTGTAGGTCAGCAGTCAGCTGGAGTTCACCAGAAGCAGAACACTGTGGACTCCTGTCAGCTCAGTCCGTGGTGCTGTGATGGTCATCATGCTGTCACGGCTTCAACCTCTTGGATTGTTGGATTTCATGTGTTATGTCACATTTATAAATAATGAATGTTGAAAATGTTTCATATTTGAGGCGACAGCAATATGACACTATTAAGGTTTTATTTTAATTAAACCACGATTTTAAAGAAGAAATGTGACTATAATGTCAAATCAAATTTTATTTATATAGCACTTTTCATATACAATGACAACACAAAATGCTTTACAACATTTAAAAACAACAAAGCATTTCAAAACATGAGATCATTTAAAAACATTACAGCATTTAAAAAATAAGATAATAAATAATAATAATAATGTGTATGTCAGACACACAAGACATAAGCTCAAGCTGTAGGTCCACAGTGACTGTTTAAATCTAAAGCCAAGCCAGAAAAGCAACACGATGCCTGTTGGATTATTTGGCCAGTCTGAGTATTTGAGGTCCATGTCAACCTAAATTTCATCATCTCGTTATACAGGATGTAACAGCTGGTCACAGGTTGGGCAGTAGCACCATCCATCCATCCATCCATCCATCCATCCATCCATCCATCCATCCATCCAGTATCTATACAAAGCTTTATCCTCTGTTGGGTCGTGGGGGGCGGAGTCTATCCCAGCTGACTAAAGGCAGGTTCACCTGGACAGGTAACCAGTCTATCACAGGGCTACACTTAGAGACAGACAACCAAGCACACTTACATTCACACCTACGGACAATTTAGAATCACCAATTAACCTCAGCATGTTTCTGGACTGTGGGAGGAAGTCAGAGAACCCGGAGAGAACCCACGCTGTACGGGGAGAACATGGAGACTCCACGCAGAAAAATCCCGAGTGTCCTCACCGGGACGCCAACCGGCGACCTTCTAGCTGTGAAGCCACGGTGCTAACCACCAAAGGGGTGCCGAGCAGTCAGCAGACACAGCAGAGGATTTCTAATGCCAACGTATTTGGGCACCATGGATGCAAGGCCGACACAAATCAAATCTACCAACTCTTTAAATGATGAATTATGAAGTTCTGATGGAAGTCACCCTGTAAGCTGTCTCTCCATGACAAGCATTTGTTTGAACTGTGACTGTGGAGGCCAGGTCATCTGGCGCAGCACCCCATCACCCTTCTTCTTGGTCAGATTGCCCTTACACAGCCTGGTGGTGTGTTTGGGGTCATTGTCCTGTTGAAAAATAAATGATGGTCCAACTAAACGCAAACCGGATGGAATAGCATGCCACTGCAAGATGCTGTGGTCGCCATGCTGGTTCAGTATGCCTTCAATTTTGAATAAATCCCCAACAGTGTCACCAGCAAAGCACCCCCACACCATCACACCTCCTCCTCCATGCTTCACGGTGGGAACCAGGCATGTAGAATCCATCTGTTCACCTTTTCTGCGTCGCACAAAGACACGGTGGTTGGAACCAAAGATCTCAAATTTGGACTCATCAGACCAAAGCACAGATTTCCACTGGTCCAATGTCCATTTCTTGTGTTCTTTAGCTCAAACAAGTCTCTTCTGCTTGTTGCCTGTCCTTAGCAGTGGTTTCCTAGCAGCTATTCTACCATGAAGGCCTGATTCACACAGTCTCCTCTTAACAGTTGTTCTAGAGATGTGTCTGCTGGTAGAACTCTGTGTGGCATCGACATGGTCTCTAATCTGAGCTGCGGTTAACCTGCGATTTCTGAGGCTGGTGACTCGGATGAACTTATCCTCCGCAGCAGAGGTGACTCTTGGTCTTCCTTTCCTGGGGCGGTCCTCATGTGAGCCAGTTTCTTTGTGGTGGTTTTTGTGACTGCACTTGGGGACGCTTTCAAAGTTTTCCCAATTTTTCGGACTGACTGACCTTCATTTCTTAAAGTAATGATGGCCACTCGTTTTTCTTTACTTAGCTGCTTTTTTCTTGCCATAATACAAATTCTAACAGTCTATTCAGTAGGACTATCAGCTGTGTATCCACCTGACTTCTGCACAACACAACTGATGGTTCCAACCCCATTTATAAGGCAAGAAATCCCACTTATTAAACCTGACAGGGCACACCTGTGAAGTGAAAACCATTTCAGGTGACTGCCTCTTGAAGCTCATCAAGAGAATGCAGTGTGTGCAAAGCAGTCATCAAAGCAAAAGGTGGCTACTTTGAAGAAACTAGAATAAAAGACATATTTTTTGTTAAGCACATAATTCCACATGTGTTAATTCATAGTTTTGATGCCTTCAGTGTGAATCTACAATGTCAATAGTCATGAATAGAAAGGAAACTCATTGAATGAGAAGGTGTGTCCAAACTTTTGCTCTGTACTGTACATGCCCAGCATACTGCATCTATGGATCTATGGATCTGGTGATGGCACAAAATGTGGGCTTCCAGACGCATGAGGCCTCAGACAGCCATCTTCAGCAGACTGCTCGGCACAGGGGAAACAACTCAACAGGGACAGTTTTGGAAACTTCCAGCCAGACAGGTTCCTTGGAGCTCCTGAGGGTCCAACATAAGCACCGGTTACACATAATGCCTCCTAGAAGCTGCCCCCCTGTTAGAACCACACAGCTGAGCCTGAGCTCGCCAGGCGCTGCAGCTCCAGACCGTCGTGGAGGATGAAGGCCGGTAGAAGACTGGCTGGAATACTGTACAGGAGATACGACCTGCTGGAGCCCTGCTAGCGGCCTGGAGAAAGAGTAGGCCATAATTACCCAGCATTTGTCCACCAGAGTGGTGTGAAGGTGGACAGGAGCCACAGCTCCAACTACAACTACAGCTCCAACTGCAGCTCCAGCTCCAACTCCAACTACAGCTCCAGCTCCAACTACAGCTCTAACTGCAGCTCGAGCTCCAACTACAACTACAGTTCCAACTGCAGCTCCAGCTCCAACTACAAATACAACTACTGCTCCAACTGCAGCTCGAGCTCCAACTCCAACTACAGATCCAGCTCCAACTGCAGCTCCAGCTCCAACTCCAACTACAGATCCAGCTCCAACTGCAGCTCCAGCTCCAACTCCAACTACAGCTCCAGCTCCAACTACAGCTCCAGCTCCAATTACAGCTCCAGCTCCAATTACAGCTCCAATTACAGCTCCAGCTCCAATTACAGCTCCAGCTCCAACTCCAACTACAGATCCAGCTCCAACTACAGCTCCAGCTCCAACTAAAGCTCCAACTCAAGCTCCAACTCCAACTACAGCTCCAGCTCAAGCTCCAACAACAGTTCCAGCTCCAACGACAACTACAGCTCCAACTCCAACTCCAACTCCAACTAAAGCTCCAACTCCAGCTCCAACTACAACTACAGCTCTAGCTCCAGCTCCAGCTCCAACTACAACTACAACTACAGCTCCAGCTCTAGCTCCAACTCCAACTACAGCTCCAACACCGAACACACGAACCGGAGCAGCCGAGCCGCCAAACCAGCGTTAACCTGTTACCCGTTGGTACCGAGTGGTTTACGAGCAAACCAACTAGCAGACGTAATTGAACACGTGACTCTCTGCTAAAGCTGTCCTCCTCACTGCTGGCAGAACCTGGACCATTACCTGATGACCTTCTCCTTGGCTTGGCTCTGGGCGTTGAAGCGGACCCAGGAGTCCATCCTGGCCGCGGCTCCGGGCCTGAGCCTGCTGCTCCTGGACCAGCCGTCGGCCTGCTGCCTCCGTCGGCCTGCTGCTCCCGGACCAGCGAGCTGTGTTTGACCGCTGAAGCTGTCCTTTGAGCAGAGCTTCAGGTTCCGGGTTCGGAGCTCAGCCTTGTCTTTAACCTGGCGGTCGTTAATTTAGCGAAGAAATTGCAGCACAACTCGGTCCAACTTCTCCCTGGACTTCTTCTTCTGGGTTTTAATGTCAGCTGGTAGGCAGCATGTAGCAGCAGCGCATTACCGCCACCTTCTGCCACGGAGCGTCAACTATAGGTGGGCCCTGCCCATATACCACGCTACATGTAATAGAGCCGCACTGGGTTAGGGTCGACATTACGGTAAAACAGATTTGAAAAGATAAGCGACTTCTAGGCAGGGCCCTGACCCTGATTTCACACAATCATTCTGTTATTAATGTATGGATGAAAAACGACAAACAAAAATACACACATAAAACAAACTGAGTAAGTAGTCAATAATTTATAAATAATAGTGATAAAAAATAATCACTGCCTGCATCCTACGGGTAATAACTCAAAAAAAAAGAATGCATTTAGACCTTCTGCACCAAAAATGTCAGAATTAAAGCCCTACAGACGTTCACATATATCTTGTGCTCAGACAGATATTACAAAGAACATCCCAGTTTTGTTTTTTTAGTCAGAATGACAGGAGGCAGAGGTAACATCAGGACAGTTTCATGTGTACATTTAAAATAAAATCCTCTAAAATTTAATGTGGACACTGTGTTCCCTCCATATTTGAGATGGCAGTTTGTAGACGCTTCCCATCCAGTCTGACAGAGCTTGAGGGTTTCTGGGAGGAACAATGAGGAAAAACAGTCCAAATCCAGGTGTGCAAACCTCGTCGAGACTTACCCAAGAAGACTGGAAGTTTTAACTCTTGCCAAAGGAGCTTCAACGACATACTGTCTTTGTATATGAGTGAAAAAGTTTTTTGTTTTTCGAAAAACAAAACCATGTTTTCACTTTGTCATTAATGGTTACTGCAGATCCACGGGGTGACTGATAATATGATGCATTTAAAGTGAAGTCCACTACATAATAAAATCCAGGAGCACTGAGGTAATACTTCTTGAAGAGACTATTTGCAGTTTTGCATTCTGGCTTGCTGACGACACACTGTGAATATGCGTATTTATGTGCAGCAGGAGGATGATTCCCTTAAGAGGAAACTCATTGTTTGCATTGAACAGTCTGACTTCAGGGTGACAGAACACCCGAGTGTCCCTCAGACAGCGTGAACCCAGAATGCTTCTTCTAACCCTCCCACATGTTGAGCTACATTTGAAAATGAATACGATTGAATCAACTTTTCCCAACATCACATTGATCAGAGCCCTGACTGCTCTACATTCAGTGGATTTACAACATAACAGGCTTACATTAGCCGTGTGATTAGATTGAGCGCTCCTGCTTCTCTCTAACTGTTGATCCCCTTCACACACGGATCAACGCCTTATTTCTTCAGAAAAGATTTTATTGACGACAAATTACAGAACGCGTTTAAGCACTGCTTGTAAACTCCAGTGCACTCTTGGAACACTTGTATAACAAATGATTACTTATAACAGCATTTACAGCAAAACACCTGTACTGTATGTGTATCCACGTACATAGTCAATATCTGGAGTCATCTTTTTTTCTTTATGAGTGAAAAGTGTCAGGAAAGTGTTTTACTTCTTCATCCTCTGCAATCATACTAACAAACATACAGTATTTGTGCATTCATGGCAGGTTTCTGAAGTAGGAAACACAATGAACTTGTTTTCTGTTGTTTCCATGACTTTAAATGAAACAGTGTAAATTATATATAATATACAATGCTTTTTATATACCATTTATATGTAAATGCATACTGGCACATTTATAGACATTCACATCAGTCTTGTGAATAGCACATGGGTAAAGCCAGGACACGGGTACAGGACTGTGAGGGGGATCTGCATGGTAAAAATGTACAGCTGTTATCTGTCTTTAAGTTCTCCCAAGAAAAGAAAAGACAAAGCAAAGACATCCAGAGAAACAGAGCTGCCTACACCCTACCCAGAATGCAACAGAGATGTTATGGCGTCTACAGTGCAGCTGTAACCGACAGCAAGACGGACAGCTGTTCAGTGCAACTGTTAATATGCCTTGTTCTCTTAATAAGTAATCAATCATCCTACTGATCAGAGACCTTCTTAAGAGCATGAAAGCTGATTTCTGGACTTTGGCAGTTAAACAGCAATAATCTCTACCCACTCGTTCTTTATTTCTGAGAAGTTGTGCATCTCTCACAGTCTTCACTTGTTGATGGAGTGGGTCACTCTTATTTCTGATTGTTTCTATTTCTTAATTATGTCTACATGAGCAAACTTCCTCCACTGATGAAGAACAATCTGCGTCTTTCTACCTCAGTGGTACTGAAAGTGCTTTGTGGTGTTTTCCATTCACCCATTCTCTAACACATGGTAGTGGTGGTGGCGACGCTGCGATGCAAGGTGCTCGCCTGCCTGGAGGTTCAGTGGCCTACCCAAGGACAGCTTGAACCACCAGCCTTGTAATTAGTGGACCACTAACCCTAACCCTAACCCTAATCTGGCACTTAACACGAAATGTGGCTGAAAGCTAAAATGCAAGTCAGTGGACCTTGACTAAACTTCTTTCTCCCATTTTCCACAGCATTTGGAGTCAATGTCCAAAAGCAGTTGACCCGGTGTTGTGTCTGTAATGATTTGACAGGGTGACAGCAGCTGATGTTTCCTGGAAATGTAGAATTAGAGCTCATTATGAGGAAATACAGATGATGCTCACATCAGGTGAACATGCAACTGAGCAGTCAGCTCAGCCTACACGGAGAATAAAGTGTCCAATAATGGGTGAATTATGAATGTTTCTATGGGGTGAAATAAAGCTTTTTTGTTTTTTCAAATAAATTCTGATTTTCTTTAGAGGAACCCTGCAGCTCACATGGAAAAGTACAACTGAGACAAGAGTAGATAATGAAGTTGCAGCTTGGCTTTAGGTGTCCAGCCATGTGCACGTTTACAAGAACAGTGCACACATAGACAGTGGTACTGTGCTCGTGTTCTGATGGATCACAATAATCTGATGATGATGAGTTCCTAATAATCTTAGTAGGTCTACATCCCTGAATGTGGCCAGAAGAAAACAGAAGAACATGACACTTGTTTGTGGTGCTTCTACTAAAAGTAGTGCCAAGCATACGGTTTATAATCACAGAAGACTAAGGCAATAAATAACACTACTTAAGTAACAAAAGGTCTCTGACAATCATGTTCCTGATCTCTCCGACACCTTGTGATATCTTCAATGAGCTACACAGATATCTGAGGGAACTACTGAACAACGCCACAAGACTTAACAGCTGAAAAACCAATTCACAATGTGCAACCTGAATCATGGTGTGCTGAAGGATTGTACGCTGTCCCGTGACAGTCCAGGAATGGTGCATCTAGTGTTGACAACAAAAGGCACAAATCACAAATATGCATATGTTCATGGCTGATCTTTGTAAAGCAGCTGAATGAGACAACTTCTCAGATCCCAACGTGTGTCTCAGCTCTACAGGTCAACTGCTTGGTACGGTATTCACATTTGGATTGAGATCAACTGACAATATTCCCATGAAATACAGATTGGGTTTGTCCAGAGGTCTGACCGCTGGACACTGATTATACTGGTGTCTGGTGTCTACCGCATGGAAGCAGTTCTGTCTACATGGTACACTTAGCTTTGTATCTATGAGCACTTTATCTTAACTCTGCTCTTCTGTCATCGTGAATCAACTACACAGTCATATATATATACACATACATCTAAGATGTGTAGTATGCGCGGGGGTTTTTCAAGTCTCTCTCAATACAAGTATTTGTTTTTCTTGAATAGTTAACAGTTTAGAGAAATACAGAAAACAGAGGACAGAAGGGAGGTTTGAATGTGAGCGGTGCAACAGCGCCCCCTGCCAGGAACCGTGCCGTGGACGTTGCTGTGCATCTTAACCATCCACACCTCCTGTCTGGTGAAAAGTTAGGACCGGCTGTGAAGTGCACAAACAATTACTACTTTAAGTAACAAGGGATAAAGCCCATGGTCCTCCTTGTGTGCAAAACATACATTTCAGTTGAGCTGAAGATGACCTGAAGCTTCACCAGGTTGAGGAAAAAAGAATAAAGAACAGAAAACTCCCAAAGCATCAAAATCTGCTGAACCAGACGTGCCCTTCTCATCCACGACTGTTTGACAGTTCATTAGAGGTTAATTAAAAACACCCCACACGTAATATATTTAAAATGTACTTTTGATTTATATTAAATGTTTTAAATGATTTCATTTAGATGTTTTCAATCTACTGTATTTTCTTACTGATCTAATGAAACTAAATCAAATCTGCTCAGACTGGACTCACACTACAGGAGCTTCAGGCCAATCCATGCCGCTTCACGCCTCCTGACACTGAGAGAACAAATCCTGTCTGAGATCTTATTCTGAACTGATGCTGGGCCCAGATTACCCGATACTGTGAGGAGTTAACAGGTCTAGTCTGAAACCTCCAGAAATGCTCGCAGACTCAAACTGCAAGCGTTTTCAGTCCCAGACTGCCATCCGTCTGCCACTGTGGAGGACGTGTGTGCTGCACATATTTAAATGTATGAATCCTTCTGCTTTGTTTTTGTTCACTGTCCAGCACCATCAGCGTTACAGCGTCACTGAGTCCATCTGTAGTGTGTGATGTGCCACTTTGTTTAAATCCTGTAGTGTGTGCATGTCTGAGACTAGAGAGAAGGAAGTCTGCAAAGTCTTTCCTGACATGAGCGATGCACCTCGATTCACACAGTCTGTGAGGATTTCAGCACTCCTGTAGTGTGAGCCTGGCCTCAGAGAAAGCTCTTTGCTTGGAAGTTTTAGCACCATTTAGGAGGACACCTAGCAGTAAGATAAGGCTTTTAATACAGCTCCACATCACTATTTTCAAAATCAGCAATTTAGTTCAATGACAGCAGCTGTGAAAGCTTTGAGCTGAGCGATGACAGGAAGGAGTAGATAGAAAGCTCGTTCTCATTGCTGTGCCACACAGAGCCCTGCTCAGACAGAGCAGGCTACAGTCCCTGGTTTCACTCCTGCTTGGTTCTGACGGCCAAATGCAGGACAGATGACATGTCTGGAATCCTATGATAACAGTCAGAGCAGAGACCAGAAGGCACTGGTGTCACATGCACAGGCTGAAGCCGGGTTTTTGGTCTGACCATACAAGGACTCAGGTTTCTGTCTCTGCACATCACAACTCACTGCTACTCTCTTCCATGAGCCCATTTTGCTGTAAAACTACTGAGTATAGCAACTATTCCAGAGTAACAACGAGCAGTACAGGTTTCCAGTGCTGCCACAACACATGAGAGCACACACAGCGTAACGCTAAAGAAACACAAGGCGGACTAGTGGCTGCAGTCAGGATGGGCTGGGAGGGCTGGCGGTTGGTTTGGTACCCGGTCACAGACTGGTGGAGAGAGCGTGTGCTGCTTGGGCAGAAAACTAAACTGTGACTTTGTGCTGTACTTATGAGGTATTCCTGCTTTGGTGATGGACACCAACCATTTGGTTACATACAGGGTAGCACTGTTTCATTACAAACAACAACACTACTTTAAAGCTAAATGTTTTTGGCTTTTTAGTCTTTTGGTTAAAAAAAATAATATAGTTAGTGTAACAGGAGGGCTATCCAGCTATCATTGCTAACAGTTTGAGTTAAATCAACACTGCGACGAGTGCAGCACGAGCACAGAGATGACCGACACTGGCTTGCTTAGTTCATCAGTTCTGCTGTTGATAAGACATAACGAGAAGTGTAATGCTGATCGTATTCACTGTGAATTTACTGACAGCATTTCCAGAGGTATGCATTTATCTGTCAGGAGTGTTTTGGACTCCTAACAGGATTTTTACATTCACTCATGTGTTTTCCATGAGTGAATGAGCAGAACACTCCTACAATTAGAAGAAATCCTACTTGCATATAAGAAAACTGGATTTCTGAAACACATCCCTGGATTTTTACAGTGCATTCAAACGTCTTTCGGACAGAGACAAATTGGTCACAACACAAACTGAGAATCGTAACCCTCAGACATCCACTTTGCTTGTGTTTGACTTCAGATTTCAGAGATGAGAGCATTAGAATAATCCCAAAGCATCAGCATTCATATGGTTGGACAGACCTTTTGGTTACGGTCGGTGTGTGTCTGTGAGAAGCATGAGTGATGAGTGCGCTGATTGTTACAAGCATTATTTGTTGTTTATCATTTGTTTTCTGTATGTTTCTGATTGTTTTGTGTTTCATTTAGATGGCATATTATAAGCAAAAATATTCAAACTTGTGTCTGCGATGCGCACATTTGAAGAATCCAGATTGGAATTTGAACACGGTCTTGATCCTCAGTTTGCAGGCCGTGGGTCAGTCAACGGCATCGTGTGCAGCACCTCATCCAGAAGCTGCAGAGCGCGGTGCAGGTGGACCTCCACCCAGCAGGGGGTGTGTTTGATGCTCTGACGGGGGTAGTCCGGTCCCCAGCCCTTCACAAAGCTGAGCCGCAGGATACAGAGCCGCCTCAGGTCGTCCACACCGATACCCGCCGCGGCAGACAGACCTGTCGGTGAAGAACAAGATGTAAGTTACACAGACTGGGTTCTAACTTCTCCAAACAGAAACGCTGAGCCTGTCACACCTTCCTAAAGAGCAATGTGTACATTTCAAATCCATGTCTATCAGATGTGGAACAGCATTTAGTTCCATGTAGGAACATACATTTCACATCCGCTCAATTCACATGTCAGACCTGGAAAAAGAGAAATGCGTTATCAGATTTCTGCTTTTGCTGCTGTGGACTGAAACTGGTGCTGGTTATCAACAAATGATCGCACGACTTCATTTCCATGAAAACAGTACACAGCTCTACTTTTTGACCGAATGTTCCTCGTCCAATGAGACCACACTCACTAAATGTGTTCACATCAGGAACTCTGCTTTTGTTGGTGTACAGTTGGTTCGCTGACCACTAACAAACCTGCCTCATGACATTAACTTGATCAGTTCTGATGTTTTAGGTGGAATCTATGTTCAAAAATTACAATATTATCACAAAATGTAGTGGGTTGGGGGAATTTACCTCAACATCTTCCACCAAGAAGGCAGGGCAGCTTGTATGTTGCCTTGAAAGCAAAACTCAGGACAAAAAGGTCAGCAAATCACTTGTTTAAATGCCGTGTGTGAGGCAGCAAGGGGGCACAAGGGTTAGCAGCCTCGCAGCTACCAGATCCCCGGTTCACGTCCCCGTTAGGTCTTTCTGCGTGGAGTCTCCATGTTCTCCCCGTGCAGCGTGGGTTCTCTCCGGGTTCTCCGGCTTCCTCCCACAGTCCAGAAACACGCTGAGGTTAATTGGTGATTCTAAATTGTCCGTAGGTGTGAATGTGAGTGTGCTTGGTTGTCTGTCTCTAAGTGTAGCCCTGTGATAGACTGGTTACCTGTCCAGGTGAACCTGCCTTCGCGACCCTAGTGAGGTGAATGGATAATGGATGGATGGCAGTAAGGACTATAGGAAGCAGTTCAACTTGATGATCAGCTCAGATGCAGTGAAAACAGCTTAGCAGCGTGTTATTGGGTGGAATGAGGAGTTCAGAGCCTTGAGGGAAGAGGTTAGGGAATGGTGTTCAGGATGTAAATTGAAAGTTTGTCTTGCTGTGGGGGGAGATGCAGTTTTGGGGCCAATGTATGCTTTCAATGTCTGCAGACTAGAAAGCAGACTGCAGACGCAGCTCTGATGCTACGATGGTTCGATCTCCCCTCAGACCAAAAACAGAAAAGCACACAGCAGCTGCTTACACATTGCATTGTAGCACCAGATCTACTTATTTCTAAGAGGTGCCGGGCACAGTGAGGGGACATAATGTCGGTATTTTGGAGAAATTAGGACTTCCTGCTGTGTTTGGGACCTGTCTGCTGCTCTGAAGTCCGGCAGCAACGGCTTTAGTTACAGCTCTGCAGTGATGAATTGTAAAGGTGTTGTAATGCGGACAGTCAGGGCAGCTGCACATCAACACCTCGCACGGACCCTCGGACATGACAAAATTTACAACATGCATACCCTTGTAGATGCAGACTCATAAGGGGAACACATGAATTGGCCTTTAGGTCTGTTAATGAGAGTAAATTGTACCTTCATCTTTGAATTTGCATTTTAAAATAGCTTCTGCCATACACAGTAAAAGACAAAAACTCAGTGTCAACAACACTTACTAACTGCAGGCGCAATGCCGCCGACGCTCCCAGGACCAGGAATGTTCCCCGCCACGGCGGCCGCCTGTGCAGCAGCTGCAGCCTGAGCCGTGGCTGCCTGCTGCTGCATTTGTCGGTGGCACTGCCGCAGGTCAAACACCTGGCCAAGACACAGACAGCTTATATGACAGAAGCAGTGCAACAGCTGGACAGACAATCGGAGTGAGAAGCATGGTACCACCCATGCTTCATTCCTTACATTTATTCAGCTGCTGTCTGCAGCTAACAATGGCTCATTGCAAGCGTCACTTATTTGGTAAAGGCCAGTGTGTCTTTCCAACTCAGGCTCACGGCGATTCGTGAAATAGCCACAAAATGTAATCTATTGATTCGTGTCCAGGGACACGATTTGCCGACTTGGTGTAAAATGAAAAGTGTGAATGATGTCTGATGTGGATTCAGACCTTGATGTAGGCTCCAGGGTAGATCTTGTGCACCGCATCGCCTGGTGCTCGGCCTGCTTCCCTGTCGAGGTAGTAGCTCTGTACAAACACAGCGTGGTCGCTCATACAGCGCATCCACACATCCCCCTCACCGCGACACTCCAGCTGCACACCTTTACCTATGTGTAACCTGGAACAAGCAAAAAAGAGAATTACACCAAGTCACATTCTCTTTGTCAACATCAAACACAGAGCCATGTTGTTTGAATAAACTCTGGGAGTGTCAGAGGTGAAACAGACCAAGGAGGCTTGAGCCTATCTCAGCTGAGTCGAGGCACACCGTGGACAGTCCACACATCCATGAGTACTGCGTATTACGTAGCTGTTTTTATGGATCTTTACTTTTTGTCTACACGTTAACAGTTTTAGGTCACTGAAAATGGACCTTTTGGAAAACTCTGCCCAGAGCGAAGCTATTCAGAAACTCTGACCTGCCGACATGTAAACAGCTTGTATGTCACAGTCACAGTGCGCACAGCTACCTCCTTGTTTGCATGAGACGATTCTGTGCAACAGCAGAATGACCAGAAGAGTTTGGTTTGAAGATGCTGACAGAGCTCTATATTTCAAAGCAGGATTTGGGGTTAATGAGGTAGTTTCAGGTGTAACTTTAGGTTTTCAGGATAGATTGCCACAGTAACATCTAACCTGCTCCGGAGTGGATTATGTTTAAGATAAAGGATCAACGCGTATAAAACCACCGCCTACTGACCAGTCAGCTGTGTTGGAAAATGGCATCACCGTTCCAGAAAGATCTCCTGCAGCCCAGTGTGCAGGCAGTGGGTGGTACAATCCTTGAACAGAGACTGGTAAAGCACTAACACTCTGAATTTATTGACCCTATAAGATTTAAGCCTCGTCACAAACAACGACAAGGGTGCAGCAGAAAGAGTAACCCTGAAACTGTCTTGACACTGTAAGAAGGAGATTGAATGAGATGACTAAAAATGTCCTCCACGTCACCACCAAACTGGTTTTATATTTATTAGGCTACTTGGGTATTTATCTGCTAAATAATCTGCCTTTTGGTGAGGAGCTAAACTGACTAAACTTGTAATTTTGTTATGCAACCTGGTGCTTGTTAATTTGATCATTAACTGAATCTTGAATAAGGAACGTAGACACCAGTGTACCATGAATCGGATCAGCCCTGTACGAGGCAGCGACAGTGATAAACCCACTGACTCATGTTCACACAGGCTGCTTTTCTTTGCAGCTTCCTTTCCTGCTCTGGCTGCAGCAGCTGTGTTGTGTTCTGAGCTGCTCTTATTGGTTTAGAGCTAAACTCACCACCTTCAGAGGACTGCTGACAGAAACTACAGGCCTCAAGAGTTTCCACGTTCACACATAAATGGACATTTAAACGTCTACTGCATAGAGGAGCACAGGAGCCAGGCCACACCAGTGAGCACTATGAGATCCAGAGCTGTTGTAGCTTCTGCAGTGTTACTCGCTTTCACTAGATTACATCACAATTTAAATTTCTGTTATTTTGCCTGTGTCCTGTGTTTGTAGGTGGGACCAACAGGCTCATAGAGCCCCCAAAAAATGAACTGGTACAGTGCGTAGTCAATAAATAGACAAATATTTGATACATAACAGTATTTCAGTTAAGTTCTACATAATAAAGACAAACACGATGACATTTATTCTAGAGTTTGTGTTCATTAACACACCTGGCTCTCTCGCTGGCATCGGTGCGATGGACGTTACTCAGCTGGCCGAGGCAGAAGCGATCGCCTCCTGACGGGTCGACATAGCCGTCCACAGTCACAACAGGGCAGCTGGAGGGCACCTTGAACATCTCACCAACCTGAACGTCCATTTCAAAGTAGGAGACAGAGCACCAAAACTCTGGTCCTAAAAACAGAAGAGAAAGCCTGTAAGCTGAAAGTTTTAAAATGTGCACTGTGACAGAGCAGGAACAGCATCGTTTGGTTCACAGTGGTCACTAACTACTAAATCAGGAGCTCCACTGGAGCTGAGCTTTCCAGCATTGTGAGGACGGATGTGACATGATCTTCAAAACTGAGTGCAGTTGCTTCAGAAATAACTTATATTAGATCAACTGTTTTAAACACGTTTAGCTTTAAGGTTGTTCACATGTTTGAACCTACAGAGCTGATGATTACTCAAGAGAAACTGGAGCCTGAATGCTGAGCTGTAAGTTCTAATGAACCAGCGGGACACTGCTTGGAACAAAGTTCACATGTTTACCAGGTCGGGTCAGTATTTTAGAACACCAAGACAACGTATGAATCACAAAAGCATCTTTATAAAACCAGTTAATTAACGCCTTAATACGAGCAAGGACTGTACTCATGTCTGACCTGGATGATTGGACACAGACGGAGGGAAAGCGTTTGATCCGTGATGCTGAGACCCTGAAAAGCAGAGGGACACGGATCAGCCTGAAGAAACTGACAAAGCAATATCTGCAGCCATCTCTGAAGTTTCCAAACTGAACTTGGTGTGAACATCTGTGGGTGTGTACGTGTGTGTTCTCATCATAACATAATAAACTTAATGTCCAGAAAGCCTTTTAATCTTTGTATGAGCACCATGAAGCAAAGCATAACAGCAGCATGATGTACAGCGAGGCCAACACGTTTCTGATCCCTACACAGTTCAGGATTATGTCCACATTCAAAAAAGTGTTCCTTCTGGGGCGCCGCTATAGCTCACCTGGTTGAGCTGGCGTCCCATGTACAGGGCTACAGTCCCGATGTGGAGGTCATGGGTTCGAATCCCGTTCATGACCCTTTCCCACATGTCCTCCCCCACTTTCCTGTCTCTCTCTCACTGATCATTCATATAAAGGCCAAAAAAAAAACTTTTAAAAAAAAGTGTTCTTTCCCTCACTGTAGCTTGGATATCAGGAATTTCAGACTTTTGGTCCCTCCTCATCCATCTCCAGGAACCAATCCCATCATCAGGAGACCTTTGCCTTGTCTGTGCTGAGTCAACAGAGGAACCGTCAAAGCTCAGCTTTCACAAACCTTACCTCAGACACTTCATCAGTTGAATAAACTACCAGCAAGTTGTTTTTCATACTATTACTGCACCAACTCTGGAGATGTCTAAATCCTAAGTATGTCAGCCTTAAACAGAGGGAAACCAACCCACAGCATCAGCCACTGCCAGTGTGGGCGTTGCTGATTAACAAGGACTTCATACTTCATACTGGACAGTCCTTGATAATGCAGTGCATCGATGAGCAGCACGGCTGGCTAGATGATTCCAGAACTATATTATCTTCACCATGTAAACATGTATGTGTGCACGTTAATACACTTTGTGGATTATTTCCAGACAAACAGATGTTCCAGATGAGACTGCCTGTCCTCCACACAAACACTACAGCAGTCCCAGTACATCCACAGCACCCAGTCCAGTCAGTCCTCCACACAAACACTACAGCAGTCCCAGTACATCCNGTCCTCCACACAAACACTACAGCAGTCCCAGTACATCCACAGCACCCAGTCCAGTCAGTCCTCCACACAAACACTACAGCAGTCCCAGTACATCCGCATCACCCAGTCCAGTCAGTCCTCCACGCAGTCAACACACAGACCATGAAGTGCATCTTACAGTGGTGGTTTGGATGATGGAGGGGAGGTTGTTGGTGAGCCCGCCCATTCTGCTGGGACCCAATGGGAGCGTACGAAGCCGTGCTGCTGCCCGTCCAAACTGCTGAATTATAGAAGGATAAGATCTAAGCAGTGTCACAGCTTTTCATTTCTCGGTTTGTCCCGTTCTCAATTTCTGTCCTTGACTCCTTATTAACAAATGAGACATCCGCACCAAAAAGATTTCAACAAGAAATGTACACTGATTATACTCCTGTTTAAAGAAAGGTGTCACCTTGGGGTTTCACATTCCCTCCCGTTGCTCACACTGGTGTGTAACAAAATAAATATAAGCTACAGGTACTGAATAATGTTAATCCATGTTAATGCAAAGCTAACGAACTGTTGACAGATCCTCTCCAAACATTACAAAATGAGCATTTGCAGTCTTTATACAATAGTGGTTCATCACAGTAAATAGAAAACACCATGACAGGCTTATCAGGCCCCATCCTGGCACAATGACTGCAGCTCTTCCAGAGCTGAAAGCTGATGCAATACTACATCATCACCAGCATGTTTCACTCTTATCTGATGCAATCTGTAAGAAATAGTCCTATATATTTCAATTCATCACTTTAAATGGTGAGTTCTTTGCTGTAGCTACCAAACAGGCTAGTGTCACCTGTACACCTGCACAGCCTCATACAGAATGGCACTGCAGCTCTGCTGTAGGTGTTGCTTTTATGAATATTATCCTTTCATTTCAATAACTGCTGACATGGTGTCACAGTTCATTTACAGCTATTTTCAAACCATTTAATTTGTCTGATGAGGTGAAGACCAACTCTAGCCTGTCTGTCCAGTCAGTGTGGTTTGTTTGGGCTGGTGAGGAAGCTCATGGTAAGGGTTAGCTTAGCCTTAGTTAGCTTAAGCTAACCCTAACCCTAGCTAACAGCTCACCCCTGCATGGACCAAACAACCACACTGACGCCAAGGTGGTGTTCACTGTCACAGCTACTGTTTGTTTGTGTCAGTCAGTGAGAATGAAGACTGGACAATACATCCTTTTTTATTCCTTTAATAAGACCAAATGAAGTGAACAACAGGTTCTCTGTCCTTTTTGCTATGTTGAATAGTATCTGTAACTCTCACTGGTATTCATTAGGAATTATTAGATATTGCTTCCTGGAATGTAAAGGAAATGTTGATTTGAGCAATACTGTCTGTATGTTTGTGCAACACGTGGACTCACTGTGGAAGGCGGGCTGACTCTGAGAGTGTTTATTGCTGCTGTATCCGTTCTGTCTGTGGGCGTGAGAAAGAGGTAGAGGGTTCTGCTGTGGGTGAGGGGGCTGCGAGGGCTGCTGAGCAGCTGGCTGCTGAGGGGGGGACTGGGTTGGGGTTGGAGGCCGTGGCTGAATGACTTGAGCCTGTGGAGATGGAGTTTGAAGACGGCTGTCACCATGACTGCCCTGCAGTGGCAGCATGGAGCCAGAGCCGGGCACTGGAAGGACAACAGAAGAGCACATCAAGCCTGACTCACACTACGTGACTTCACCATGGGCTGATCAATACTTAAGCGCTGACCTTCGGGTGAGACAGGTAGGTTAGGGTATCTGGTAACAGGTGGGGGTCCATGAGGCTCAGAAGACAGCTGTGGGGGAGGCAGAGGCGGGCCATAGTGGTCTGGAGGAGGCAGCTTCAGGGCAGCCTGGTGGTCAGACAGAGGCATGCCAGGGGGAAGGTCCATCTGGATACAGTCATGGATGTATTCCTCTTTGATCAGCCGGCCCGGTGCTGCTGCAGGAGGCAGGGACAGCTATGTCAGGTGGAAGGATCACTACCATATACAGTGTTGTTAGCGCTGGAGATAGAGCAGGTACCTAACTACATCAGATGACCAGAGGACGTGAATACAGACAAACCCTGAATATCACTGGTGGACCTTCATATAACATTCTGGTGCCTCTGCAGTTGAAAAGGCATTGTTGGTTTTCTATCGTTACATCAGAACCTGTCTGGGTTCAGTCAACATTCATCTATCTCTTAGTTTAGTGCCGTTCAAACTGTCCTTACCCAATATATAGTCTCTTCCTTCAAACAAATCACAAGACGAACGGGCTATAACGCGGTCCATTTGCATGTCAGCTGGTTCTGTCTCAGCTGTTTGAACAGCCTGTGCGACTATTATTCAGACAAAAGCACAGAAATACATTATATATGCATTTTTAATCATTTATTTCATGATATATAACTACAGTTCTGTTACTATCAGTAAACATGCCCACTGCAGTCACTAAGGGACGGGTTAGGGTTGGAAGTAAAAACACTGTGCTGGAGCTCTTCTGCCACTTTACTGCTGCATATGGATGTATTTCTGATGAGTAGCCTTCATTATTAGAAAAACTAGATTGTATAGGGATGGACACAGAACCTATTTTATCCCAAATAACAATACACACAATTTCAAAACTACTTGGTTTCAAACTTCTTACTTGATTTGAGAGCAATGTCCCGCATCCCCTTCAACAGTATGAGGATAGTTGTAAACTGATGTCCCTGTTGTTGCCTGTAGCTTTACCTCTCCCTGCATTGAGTACAGCTTCCTCACGCTCTATATTTACTACATCTGCAGCAGCATCTCCTCTACGCAGCTTTCTGTTATACTCTACCTTAGAACTCATTGTCAGACTTGGTATTTGCTATTAGCATGTCCTGTGCACACTCTCTCAATAACAAGAAGAAGATCTAAAAAAAAAAAAAAGCAAAATTCCACTTGTTGTGCATGAAGGATGCATGTCTGACAGTTTGAGCACACTGGTGCCAAGCAGTGGAAGCAGTAGCTCTAAATAAATCCCCTGTGTTGCTGTAGGATGAACTCACCTGTATTCTGAAGGCTGAGACCCACTGTCAAAGAAGAAATGGAGAATAAAAATTAACCCTTAACTTGAGAGATGTCATACAGGCGAGTAAAGATCAGTAACACGTCTAACAGGGTGTTTAACGATGCCTACTAGTATTTGTGAACAGTAGCCCTTTCAGACATGTTACCTCGAGCTCTGCTGGTTTCACCATCCCGTTAAAGTGACAGCATTGACGTAAGCACAGTGAGCTCGATGCACTCTGCTGCTTACTTATATTTGTGAATAGTGAAACTGGAGACTACAGGGCTGTCAGACATGGAACATGAAGCATTACTGGTTTCATCAGCCTGTTAACGTCATTCTAGTCAGTCAGACAGGTAAGCTTTACGTTCTTGTTTCTCACAGCTTCATGCAGAGATAACCACACAGTCCTGGAGATAGCCACAGTACATGTATAATACTTGTCATCCACATGACATTAGACAACACACTGAGGGATGTGTAATGCTCAATAATGCAATAACAGACAAAATCTAAACTAAAGAGCACATTTTCAAACCGTGCAGACAACTGACAGCCCAGTTTACTTCTGATTTCTGAAACAGGAAAACTGAAAGCTCAGGACAGAATCTGAGGAAGGTCAAGATGTACAACAGGACACGGTGTGACCTGCTGTAACATCCTTATGGGCCCTTTCTCCATCCAGGCATGAAATATAAATACAAGGAACCCTTAAGTTACTGCTGTTACTCTGTACTAATGCCACTCATGGATCCTACCGTTGTCCGATGCTGCAGGTATGCAAAAAAACAATGAGTCCACACCAGAAGGAAGCTGTGGTTCTGTGTATTTTAACAGCATGTATTGTGTAGCCTAGTAGATACTGTAGAGCAATGCGAGTAAGAACGTAGTGCTGTGATGTTTCTGGATCACTCTTGGTGCTGAAATGCTTGTGCATGCCTACCTGTTAACGTGATGGTTTAGTTCAGACTTATGCAACATTTAAAGTGATATGCAGGTGGCTTGGTAAACGTCTAGGTAACATGAACAGGGTGTGGATTCAGACCAGCAGTCGACATGTTAAACTGCTGCCAAGGTAACAGAATGCACGTCTGAAAAGGGCTCATAAGGACAGAGACCGTGAAACCAGTGCAGTAACAATAAATAACTCTTAAACGTGAAGCTGACCTACCAATGCCTGGTGACACCACCCTCTCATAATGGTAGGGGTTCACACACACGTTGTCATACTTCAGGTCAAAGGCGTACTGGCAGAACTTGACATGCTTGAGCTCATTCTTGTGGAGGTCAGGCCAGCGCCACAGCCGTGCATAAATCACATGAGGAAAGCCTTTCCTCCCTGCCACCTGAGGGGAGAGGACAGTATCATTAGAAGACCTCCAATGCTTCCTTTCATGCTCACTGACTCTACTCCAAATAGCTCTTTACAGTGCTACTACATGCTAGCACCTAATGCTGCTCCTGGCAAGCAGTATGATCCACTGGAATATGGTCACACAGTAGTTCCTGTGCAAACCAGAGGACAACATTTACACAGTATTAGGAGGTGTGTCAGAAAAGGTCCAGGACTGGAACTAGGAACTAGGAGTTTGTCCTTCAGACCATCAACCAGCAGGTCCACAAAGAGGTCCTGCAGCGTTTGCTTCGTCCAGAAGAGGCAGAGTTGTGTCAGGACCAGTGGTGGCTGCTTCACCATGACAACCTGCTCACAGCGCCCTGAGCATCCCACAGCTCCTGGCTGAGAAGAACATCTCCGTGCTGGAGCAACCTCTCTACTCACCCCACCTGGCTCCGTGGGGTTGGTTCCTCTTCCCCAAGCTCAAGGGCACATCAAGGAGACCCGTTTAGAAGACGTGGACGACATCAAGGTGGCTGTGACGATGGAGCTGAGAGGATCCTGAAGAATCCTTCCAGGAGTGCATGGCGGCCTGAAGAGAAGGCTGGGGGAGGGTGGTAGACTCCAGGAGGATTACTGGGAAGGAGAGGACTGGTAGTTTGTAGTTTGGGTTTGACATATGTCTTTTGTGACACCAGTCCTGGAACTTTTCTGACCCACCTCGTAGACAGATCATTTTAATGGTGTGGTGGATCAGTGCATCAGTCTGGCAAAAATAGTATTAAGGTCTTTCTGTGCAAGACTTTGGTATAGATACACCTGATAGCACAATGATTACAGCTGTCGTCTGCAATGCTGGACAAAGATTGTCGTATCATGAATTAAATCAGAAGTGATTATTGCAACTGTGAAAATCCCTAATTTCTAAGTCTAATACATGAGGGTGACAGAAGCTGACTATTCCGTGCAAAGAGGGCACAAAGTAGTGCAAAGAGCGTAACAGTAAGCGAGCCCCTACATTGGTCTGAACATTGACAGTGGATGTGGATGTGGAGTGCATGTGTGAGGCGGACTGACCTGCAACCGTCCATCCAGCGTCCTCTGAATGGTGACACACTTGCTGGGATGAACACCATTGGTGGTGATGGCAGTGATAAGCGAGTCTAGCTCGTCCTTCTTCTCCTTCAGCTTCTTCACCAGGCTCTCAATGGCACGCTTGGCAAAGCCCTCGTTCTCTCCGCCCTGCCGGTGGCACATGAGGCTGTGGACGATGCTCAGGCACGCGTCATTGCTGCTTGGTGGGTTCACTGACATGATGCTGCTGTCATGGGACACAAGAAAAGGATTGCCCTACTTACTGAACACATAATATCCACTCAACAGGCATTCTGGACAAAGGGACAGCGCACACAGTCAAAACATCAAAGCTGCTGACAGGTGAAATGAATGACACTCAGCATCCCATTACAAGGAAAGGTTATGCTGGGAGCCCTGAGGTCCTGGCATTCACCTCGATGTTACTTTGACGCGTACCACCTACTGAACATAGCTGGTTAGTGTCAACCCAAGCACACCCCCTCCTCAGCTTCACCCAGCAGGGGGCCCAATGCGCCTACAACTCAGGAACATCACCAAGAGTCCAAGTTGGTGACCAGGCCTCCAAGCTCCCCAGATCTCAGTCAGATCAGGCATCCACGGGATGTGCCGGAACAGGTCTGATCCATGGATGCCCCACCCCGCAGCCCAATAGACCCACAAGGATAAGTTGTCAGCGTCCTCATGCCAGACGCCACAGGACACCGCCTAAAAGTCCCCTCATGGTCAAGAGCTGTTTGGGCAGCATGACAGGAACCTACACATTACTAGGCCGGAGGTTTAAATTAGAGGCAGACTGATGTATGGTGGCAGAGGAAGGAAGACGTGTGCCTTGGCTGAGTGCAGGGAGAGACTGTCAGTATAAACTGAGGGGGACAACAGGTGCTGAACTACTTTTACTATGATTTTATGTTGTCCTAGAAAAGTTCCCTTATGCACAAAAAAGGAAATGTAAACTGTTATCTCTCTACATTTTGGTCCAGTTACACTGCATTTCAGAATTATAGATTGAAAACATAAAATAAATCTACCCATCTATTAAATCTATAAATCCATCTCTGTAAGAATGCTAAGATTCATGCACTGTCAGATATATATGTAAGAAAGGTGTGGTGACCTGGTGATGCACGCCGCATGGCTTAGGATGCCCTAACAGCACCTCCCAGGCCCACTCCTGGCTGACTGGACCTTTCTGTATTCCTTTCCCGCTTTCTCTCCACATGCTTCTGCTCTATGTCTTACTGTCAAACAGGGCAGAAATATCATAAAATATAAATATAATGTGGCTCTGTGGTTAGCACCGTGGCCTCACAGCTAGAAGGTCGCCGGTTGGCGTCTCGGTGAGGACACCAGGGATCTTTCTGCGTGGAGTCTCCATGTTCTCCCCGTGCAGCGTGGGGTCTCTCCAGCTTCCTCCCACAGTCCAGAAACATGCTGAGGTTAATTGGTGATTCTAAATTGTCCGTAGGTGTGAATGTGAGTGTGCTTGGTTGTCTGTCTCTAAGTGTAGCCCTGTGATAGACTGGTTACCTGTCCAGGTGAACCTGCCTTCACCCTGAGTCAGCTGGGATAGACTCCAGCCCCCCATGACCCTAGTGAGGATTAATGTGTAGAGATGATGGATGGATAAATATAATCAATGAATAAACAAATGCAAGACGAAGGCCTAAGATCTTTCTAGACCTAAAATGGCATTTTAATTTATCTGGGTTCTCATCATTCTTCTACATGCTCGTTTAAAGTGCTGAAGACAAAACCTTCCATTCATCTGACGGCACCTGAACGTGTTGACTCCACGTCTGGATGAGCACCTGGTTACTTCTACAAACACAACAACCATCTAGGAATATTTACTCACCACTTTAAACACAGCAGTATCTGAACTGCATGCAGGCGCAGTACTAAACAAGGCCTGCAGATTTGAGCAGCAATGTGCTTGTTATGGTGACTTTATTGATCAGAGAGGTTCAGGTTTATGAACAGCTCATTGAACTTGATGTACACATATGAATACCCTGTCCATCACATCTGAATGACAGAGTGGTGACTTTAACAGACTGATGAAGCAGCAATGATACGCATCATATGTCTAAAAGAGCTCAGCAGTCAGTCTCTGACTGGCACAGGGGCCTACAAGACCACCAGGTCAGTTATATAAGTCATTACTTACAGTATACCAGTCGTTACTACACCAAGCCTTCACATTTCCAAACCATCAACACTTTTCAAGCCTCGAGCAGGAATGAGGAGTCAGGACAACTTAAGTCCTGAATACTGATAAGATTAGTGCATATTAGCTATCTTGCTATTAGTCTTGGAAAGTATTACTGTCAATGAGAGTCAAAAAATGGTATTGTTGTCGTACACGCTTACTGTCTGGCTTACCTCGTATTAAGCTGATCAGCCAATGAGTGACCAGAAAGTTCATTGACATCATGATGGCCAAGCTCTGAATCGTTCCCTGTTGGCGCAGCAAGAAAACCAGGAATTAGTGGATATGAGTGAAGCCACATCAACAGTGAATCAACATGAGCAGTGGTACACACCGTATTCACATCCTGAACCAGAGCCAGAGCCGAAGCACCAGCCACACTCCACTGCATATAAAGGTCTTTTATGTTAAGTACTACAAATACGGATAAATCAGAAAGGCTTCATCCTTCAAATCTAGTATATCTAGGAGTACTTTCCATGAAAAGGGTTAGCATTGGTAAACAGTGTCAGGGTCTTTCTGTGGAGTCTCCAGGGAGGGTTCTCACCTTCATATTCAGTCCAAAGACATGCTGAGGCTACCTGGTGACTCTAAACTGTCCGGAGGTGTGGCTGTGGGTGTGCTGCTTGTCTGTCCCTGTACTGGCCCTGCGATAGACCACCACCTGTCCAACATGTACCCTGCCTTCGCGGTAAGTCCGCTGGGACGGGCTCAGCTGACTGTTGTGGCGCTGAGCCCTGCTCACCACCTCCATTGTGGAGATTTGGGGAAACAAGTATTTGAACAAACAGCATTATTGGGGTAAGCAGACAAAACTCACAATTTTTCAGATATAAATAATTTTACGTCAGTTATTTAAAAAGCTGGTCTTTGAGCCAATATGACTAACGGCACAGAGATCTAATTCTGTGGACGTCGGATATGTGCCAGAATCTTTCTTCAATGCTGCATCTGCTATCGCTGGAGCTACTTTAACCTATACAGCTGTAGGGTATAGTCTATACATATACATACATCATAAAACATCAGACTGAATCAGCTGATGCTTTGTTTGTATGCAAAATCTTTAAAAGTGCCAGGAATTAATTACTCAAATTATCAATGAAATCATGATGGAAAGAAACTGGCAGGTGAAATGTTGAACTACGTTGTGCCTCAGACTAGCTGGGACAATATGACCAGCTGGAATGTAGGAAACCAGGTTTAATACGATTACATGTTATTTATACAGCTCCAGTTCATACCAGACCATCTCAGGGCCCTTCACATAGGAAGCTGGAGGCCTGACAAAATCACACACCAACAAATTCAGTTTCCTCTAATTCCCTTTGAGCAGACAATAGCAGAACAACAACAGAGCAGAGTAATGTGGAGTCACATACGTCACCGCTGTGGGGTATATACGACGACCGGGGCCCTGTCATAAAACACACATGCATGTCCCAACTTCCAGATTTAAACTTTTGAGCCTTATTTTAGGAGATCCACAACTGAAATTTGAGTTGACGGCCACATATGATGTACAGTGAGTTCAGCAAGAGCCGACTCTGAATCATACAGAACCCACACACAACACAGCTGCATACCTACCGAACCCGAACCTACCTAACCCTAACCGACCGAACCCTAACCTACCTAACCCTGACCTACCTAACCCTAACCCTAACCTACCTAACCCTAACCCTACCAAACTCTAACCCATCTGTCCATCTACCCATCCATCCATCTATCTATCTAACGACTAGCATGTGGACAGTCACAGGTTTGCTGTGGACATCCAGCCTGTCCCCAAACACTCACAGCTTCTTTCCTTTCTTCTCCTGAACACACTGGTACTAGTACAGGAACACTGGTCCTGGTACAGAAACACACTGGTCCTGGTACAGAATCACACTGGTCCTGGTACAGGAACACACTGGTCCTGATACAGGAACACACTGG